TGCAGAGCTGTTGAAAAGAACGAGTAAAAGAAAATGAATTCTCCAGCATTTCAGATATTTTCTGAGGCATAAGGCAGGTTTGACAAATCCAATAGTTTTTGTTATTTTAGGAGGATGCTTTACCTGATGTGGACATGATGGGTAGAATAAACGTGCTTTTAGCAAAAAATTGGCACGGAAGGACCAACAAATGACCAAATTTAATGCGTTGGACCATTAACACGGCAAAAGGTTGCATGAGGTATTCACGGCACAAAAATGTTGAGCGAACCGGTATAACATGCCATACTGCGGATAAACTTACGAGTAAAAAACACGCTGTACCGTGAAATTGTTCTTAACAAAGGTATTTTACCATGATCTAACACCTTTTACTGTTCCGTTCTTGATAGCCGTAGTAATTGCCGATGATCCTCTGTATGATAGATGTGCTGGTCAACTCGGGAAAATCGCTTCCCACAATTTTCAACTCAATCATGTCCCTGACTAAGTGGTAATTATCGAGCGAAGTATCGTTTGCACCGCAAACGATGATATCAATCCCATGATGCCTGATAAAGTCTTTGTCTGGTACTAACGGTGCACCTCTGATAATTTTGCTCACGTATTTGCACGCAGACACGCACAGCTCTCTTTCCACCAATGACATGATGGGGCTCACGCGCTTGAGTTTGTGCGAGGTTGACTGGTTGAACAGACCTAAGATCGTGTACCAGCCGTTCTCTCTGCACTTTTTCAAGATACTGGCATGTCCTGCATGGAATAGATCGAATGTACCATCGATGTACACCACTTTTCCCTTGTTCCTCCGCTCAGGAATTTCATACTTTTCTAACAGGCCCTTGAGGTACACTTGGCGGTTGCCTTCATCATCCACACCCGATTTGACAGGAACGCTAGACTGCAGAGCAGTAGAAACACCCGGTTCAAGCGAGACACTGTTCTCGGCGCCGTTCCAGTTTCCGTTTGATCGCCGCCTGAGAAGCATGCGACCAACCAATCCAGTTGTAGAAATGTGCAGTGTTCGTTCAACTGTTTTGAATATGCCCCTTGCTTTTGCCTCACCGTAGCAATCCACGCCGTCCGCATTCTCGATGGAGTCATTACCGTGCACAACGAGATCGATGCCCTTCGATAGCACAAGATCGCACGATGTAATGAACGGCGCGTCCGGATAAACCTCATCTACCCATCTGCACGATTGTACAATGAAGTAACGCTCGTCATCGTTCATCACGGGCAATCCCTTGTTTTGGGTGATTTCCACGGATGAGTGCACCCCTGCAACGAGATACGAGCCAAGCTCTTTGGCCTGTCTCAGAACATTGCTGTGTCCGAAGTGAAACAGGTCGAAGCAGCCGTCCGTCCATATTTTTTTCATTCTGGGTAGGGCAACCATTTTTTCTATGATTACGCCGGAACAGGCTAAATATGTACCATTGCCCGTCATGTGCACCTGTAATAACGATAAAGTGCTGGCCCGCAACAACAAGAGACCAGCCCATACGACAACGCAGCGATTGCTGATTCCTTGTTGTGAGAAATAATACGGGGACAAACACGTCATAATTTCCAAACTGATCAGAAAGTACGGGTGAATCAAGGGTATTTCGCGTGTACGTTTACTGTGGCGGTCAGGCCCAGCAGGTTGTGCAGATACGCTGTGTGCAGCATTCAATTGAACGCTTCGCTGCACAGGAATAGGCATATTCAGCACAAGAAGCGTTTTTTGGATAGATAATGCTTTGCAGGCAGAACAGAAACATTCAAAATTACTTTAATTCCAGTGCAGAAAAGCGGTTTTTGCTAGCTGAGGGGGCAGCAAATCAGAAAAGTGTTCTTATTTAAGACTTTGCAGTGGTAAATGAGCGTACTGTTGGTAAAAAATGTGAGGAAGTTGTTTTTAACGGTTAATTCACGACAATACCAGTCATGGTACGTACTCAGCACATCACTCGGCAATTTTAAGGGAGAAAGGGAACGAGTTGAACAGTCTATTATGTAGGATTTGCACATGAGTACACGTACATTTGACGGAACATATGCTTTTACAGCAAAAACACCACATTTGAACGCAAATACACGTACATTTGACGGGACATGTGCTTTTACAGCAAAAATACCACATTTGAACGCAAATACACGTACATTTGACGGGAAATGTGCTTTTACAGCAAAAATACCGCGATGTGTCTACCTCTGCCCTAGTTAACGGGTTCCTCGTAAGTAACAAATAATGTCGAAATATGCCTACCAGGTCCAGCATTGAGCAAATTCTTACAACGAGGACGATTCGACTATCCAAGCTATTTTCTATTTTGAGACATTGTTTAGTGCTGATCTGAGGAGATGCCAAGCATAAGAGATACAGTTACGTTCGTTGTGTCTTCCTAATAAATGTTTAGTTGAGACAACTCCGTTCAGAGAAGCGCGCAGATACAGCTACCGCTCACATTAACCTCTTTACACACGTTTCTTCCTCGTAACATGAACAAAGGCATTTATTGAACGTTTTTAACTTTCTATATCATCCACAAAATCCCAAGTTGGCAATATTTTGAGCCAACGCACCGCATTCTGGTCGTAGAATCCGTAAGTGAATGGTGAATACAGGCAGAAGACAACGATCTGTAGAAAAAGAATTGCGTAAAGCAATTTCGGTTTTCTAACGAATATAAGAATGCTGTGCATGGAGAAGTACAGAGCCGGTAAGTAGTGGTGGAAGTAGAGTACCCGGCCGATAAAAAAGAACGGCAGAAAATGAATAGCCCATCCGCCGCAGAATAAACAGCAAAAAATCAGATTTTGCATGTTTATACGCTCCTTATTTCGTATTTGTCTGAGCGTCCTGCACAACAAAACTGTGGGCGCAATTAGCACGCATATAAGCGAGAGATACCACGAGAACGGATTCCCAAACATGTAAAATTTGATGTTCTCATTGCTCCAACCACACATTCTCAGGCCCCGCCTCAGAATGGGCCACTCATAGGCCTGCGAAACGATTCGTATCGGCTCTAGGTCATCGTCCTGCACGAAGGATTTGTTCGTTACATACATCAAGGCGTTATGCTCGACAATGTTGTGAAATACCGCAGACTTTAAGTTTCTCAGCTCTTTGTATTCCAAGTCCTCGCTCTTTACCTTGTTGTTCATTTCGATATTCCAGAGGGTCGAGCTGTCCTTTTTATACGAACATGTCACTTCTCCCTGTCTGAACCCCCATTGTGGATACCGCTTATTTGTAGATCGCAGATAGCACTCCTCATCAACGCTCTTCAGTCGAAACCTGGTGGTCAGTGTTTTGATCCTATCCTCCTTCTTGATTAGATCGTCTGCCACTTCTACCTTAAACAGATTGGTTCTGAAGAGTTCGGTGTTAGGAGATGTGGACAAAAGCTTATCATCCTTGGAGACATATGCCTTTTTGTTTACCAGATTGAGATAACGAAGGGTGTTCATGTGCATCACAACCACCTCGTCGTTGTCTTTGACCATCTCGGCCTTTACGTCGCCATCAACAACTTTCTGGAACGCCCAGTAGTTATTCTCGTCTTTGTGTCCGTACGTTGTCATTTGGCTGCCCTCGCTCTCGGGATATTGGTCTTTGTGCGAGTGCAAGTATTGGCCGCTAAGCTTGGTGGACTTGATTGTCACGACAGTTCCGTACTCCACGTATTTCCTGAACCTGTGTTCATTGCCTTTCAGGGTGCTCTGGAAAAAAGATGACATGTGACCATCATCGGGACTCGAACGGTTTACAATCCTGAAATGAACGAAAAAAAAGAACAGGTAAATGATTATGGGAAGCGCAATCAGGTACAACGCTCGTTCGGCAAATACACGGATAAACTGCGTGAACGCTACATTTTTTTGTATCAGAAGAAGCCACAGCTCGGCAATGATAAATAGGCCCACAAGAAAAGTCGTAAAGCAGCCGATCCATTTCACGCTCTGGACACATCCAAGGGCAGTGCCCAAAAGCATGAGATTTGCGGTTGTTCGTCTTCGCATGTACTTGGCGAGGGCGTACACCACCATGGAGGTGAAGAATAAAAGGTGCGAATCGAGCAAGATCAACCGCGAAATGCAAACCAACGAATTCTCAAAGATTATCATAAATGCGATCACAGTGCAACAATGAACATCGTAAGACATTTCGCGCAGCGTCAGATATGAAAACAGAGGAACAAATGAGGAAATGAACGCGTGAAACCGTCGCATACCCACGTAGTCCATCTGTGCCGGGTAGCTTGAACCAGAGTCGAATTTGAAATTTACGTCTTGCCCAAACAGGTACCCGCTCAGTGCTGTCAACATCTTTCCCAGGGGCGGATGAACATCAAAATAGAAAAGTCGCTGCAAATACTTCGATGCAAACTTTCCAAAGTGGGCCTCGTCCCAAACTACGAAATTGCCCTTTTCTATTTTATAAGAGCGTACTAGGAACGACACCAGAAAGATCAAACAAAGAAGCAAGATTTCCGATTTTCTTCTTGTCTTATCCTCTGACATGCCATCTTTCATTTTCAAATTAGGCTTTTCGCACGGTACCGTCGGTCTATCCTTTGCTTCCGTATCACTGGCACTAATCCTTTGCTTTATTATGGAACTTTCGTCTGCTAGCGACCCAGGCTCCTCTTTGTCCGTGTGTATCAGCGGGCTGGTCATTATTTGATTACAAATTCTTTGCTTTTAAAGATAACTGTGAAACATGATATCGAAAAGTAAATAAGCGTTGTTTACTTGCATGACGGGCATGCCATCACATCTGCATGCTGATTATCAAGCACTCCTCTGTGTGTTCGTGGGATCGGCTGTACTGCAGTGCTTGAAGGCACGTTGAAACCATGATGCTTATTTTTTACCGAGGATGTACCTGATTGTTGCACACACTCCCACATAACACGAACAAACATGCCCTGTTGGTCCATCATAAAATGGGTGGCCATTTTTGATTCCAAGGCTTGTTCTTGGCTACATTTAAGTTTTCAACACCAGGTGTACACCGAGTATTGTTCAACCCGTTGCTGACTGCTGTAAGAGAGCAGAACAGGGTGCTATCAACAGCAATATTGAAATGTTAAATTAATGTAATTCATCGGTCACAAGGTGTGGCTTACGGACCCTCATGTTCGTGCATAATGTGCAATCTGAAGTAAAGGCAAGGGATAGAAAGTCCTACAACGAACTAAATGAAGGTTTTCGAACAAAACATTCTTTTTGAATTGCTACTCCCACGTTTTCTCTTTATTTACATGATATGTTTTGGTTAGGTTAAATTTACCTGCAAAATAATTGCTGTGAGCATCGGCCCACAGGGCCTTGCGTTATCTGCACCCTCCTGTTTTAACTCAATAATCCCGTTCTGTGCAGCAGGATAATCTAAGCTCGTAACAAGCGAATTTAGTGATGAATCTAAATTAATTTGTGTGTTTCAGGATAATGTTTTATTTATGGTTGTGATCAGGAGCTCGTAATTGTAACACTAGCAATCACAAAAGATGAATTAATGGGTGAGGTGTGCATTGTACCTCCTCTTGTTTTGCGCTGCAAATGAATAGAAGGTTGGTGTGCCGTACTTTCATGTTAACGGAGCGTTTTAGTCGATGGCCTTGTAAGCAAGGCCCCTTCAGTTCAGAAAAGCATTATTTTTACCTCTCCTTATACTCTTTGAGCTCTAGCCGCTTTTCAGAAGGATGAGCAACTACAAATGCACCTATTGTACAGCACATGGTTCAATGCGGAACCATACTCAACGGAATGGGCCTTGTTCTAACACAATTATTAAACGCTTTCACCGGTTGACAACTCACTTATTGCACGGTATTCGATATACACAGCCAGTGCTGCTCCACCATTTCCCTGCACGTGAGTCAGTGCACGTTCGCACATTATGATAAAAGAATTACCAAATTTGTTTGACTAGGCACAAGGTTTTCGTCACGGCCACAGAGAATGGTGTAATTAGCACTTCGCTAATAATAAAACTGAAACTTAGCATTTTTCGTTTACTGAATCAAAACATTCGTGAACAACTCCGTTGATTGCGGTTCCTTGGCTGACTGTGCCAGGTTAGATTCTCTGTCAATCGTGTCCTGAACACTTTTTTCGATGTCCCTTATCTCATTTTCTGGAACAAACTGTGCCAAAAAAGACTTAAAGTGGTTAATCGGATCAATTTTTGCCCTGTCGGTGAGTTCCTGCTTTGATCTAAAATCGGTCTGATCTCTGGCCGAGTGGGTGCACAGCCGGTAAGTGGCTATTTCCAAAACCAGCGGACATGTTTTAAGGGCATATTCTCTACAAAACTTGAAAACTGCTATGAGGTCCAAAACATTCTCATGGCTCACCCGTATACCTGGGATGTTGTCCCCTCTTTTGTAGAAATTAGTGTTACTGCTTGCAGTCTCCACCCTTGTCCACATGCCGTAGTCATTGTTCTCACACACAAAAATGATCGGCAATTTCCATAACATTGCCATGTTGTAGGATTCAAATATCTGTCCTTGGTTGGCAGCACCGTCTCCATAAAAGGCAAAACTGACATTTTTAGCCACCATCTTATCGAGCTTATCGCCTTTTGCAAGATTAACATATTTGTGGCGAAATGCAAGACCGAGAGAAATCGGTACTTGGGCACCAACGATACCATGTCCGCCATAGAATGCTTTGTTATACAGGTGCATAGATCCGCCCTTTCCACCACACATACCCTCATCCCTACCTAGCATCTCAGCAAGAATCACCCTGGCACTGTCTCCGGTCACGTAGCTCAGACCATGGCACCTGTACGAGGAAGTCGCGGTGTCTTCCCCTGATATAGCGTGTTTATATGCAGCATAGATGCTTTCCTGACCGCTTGCCAAATGGCAAAATCCCCTGATCATTTTTCTATCAAAAAGCTGCTGCGAGCACTCCTCCAATCTTCTTATCGAGAGCATGGTTCTGTACATCTCCTTTAATTCATCAACTTTGTATTCATACTCACTGTCCAGTGCCTGTTTGTCCAGCAGGTGCACATCGATACATTTCAGATCCAGCTTGTATTTGTAGGTTTTTTGCATCCGCCCTTGCACTCCAAACAAATTTTATCATTAAAATGATAAATTAATACAAAACGTTTGTCAGGGACGGCATAGACTATTTGTGCAGTGTCCGCGGCTAACAATGGGCGTAGATCGATTTGTGGACGAATAACAGTTTTTATAGACATACGACTGAATGTAGCGTGCCGAGATAGTTGGTCATTCGTGTTGATAGGCCGACTACCACAAAAATGAAGTTGTTTTTAGTACTTTACGGAACAACGGTAATAAAGCAGTCTTTAGGGCTGATTTATTGGAAAAAGGTGTTTGAAAACGTAGAAAGATGAAAGTGTGCTGTTAAAGGCAAAAATATGCAGCTGCAGCGCTGTGATTGAGCTTAAAAAAATTGCAAACACGTGTCAAAATACGCATTCAGACAATGCAGGTCTACATCTGCGAAGTAATTTTTGCTGTATCATGGTTGATGAATGGTCAGACATGAAGCAAAGAAAGCAGTTCAGCAAAACTTAGATTGTGAGCCACATATATTTGTTCATCACTACGCTTAGCATAGCAAGGTGCTGTTCCAAGGCCCAGTTTTGATGTTTCGTGTGTTAAAGTGCATTTACTTTTGGTACCCGTTCTGAATGAGTTTCGAACTAGCGCAGCCACTTTTCTATTTGTTCGTGGTGCCGCTGCAAGAAGAAGCTAAAAAAATTTCTTACCCCCAGAATGTATGCGCTAATGGAATCAGCTGATGCCGTGAACCTATTCAAAGACGACAGTTTGGTCGCTTCATACAGATTTGATAGCGCTGAGCATGCCCAGAAGATATACAGTGAGGTGATAAAAGGTGTACTACCCGAGGAGATTGAAACTTTCCTTCTAGACAACGATGTTGATGATTTGATTGTTGATAAGAGTCTGGTCAAATCCGGGTTGAGGGATGCGTGTAAGTCGATAAAATTTGTGGAAGATCAAAGAAGGCTAAGGCTGTTAAGGGAGAAGATAAAAGCAAAGGATGAGAGTGTACGAGGTTTGAGCCACTCAATGGCACATAAGAACGTGAATTTTTACACGCTGGATCCGCTGATTGCACAAAGTTACTGCATGTTGAAGCAAATAGAGAGCGACATAGAGCGGTACGACAAGAGAGCAGCAGAGATATACCTTAATTACCTGCCAGAACTGAAGATAAGGAAGAGGAAAGATGAGTCCGATGATGAAAAGGTGGAGTACAAGCAGTTTTACGATGTGGAGGTGATCAAGAAGCTGTGGAAGATAAAAGAGAACGGGGATATGAGCAAGAAGTATTTGTGGACAAAGGACTCTGTTGGAATTGAGCTCTCGCCGAATGACTGGACAAACTTGCAGAGGCTTGTCGATCTAGTTGAACTGAAGAAAAAGAGCATGGACAAGCTTTTGAAGTACCTCGAGCAGCAAGTTGAAATTCACGCACCAAATCTCAATGCTTTACTGGGTTTCCGACTCACCGCTGAGTTGGTCACTTTGTGTGGCTCACTGATAAATCTTGCTAAGTGTTCGTCAAGCACGGTGCAGGTTCTGGGTGCTGAGAAAGCACTTTTTAGGTCCTTGAAAAACAAAACGCCCACACCAAAATATGGCATTCTTAAGAATAACGGATTAACGAAATCGCCACGCATAATACGATCGCTTGCAAGCAAGATAGTACTTTGTGCCAGGATCGATGTCTTTAGGAGGACAAAGACCGATGCATATGGTAAAGCGCTGAGAGCCGTCCTAGAGACGAAGGTGAAGACAAATAAGAAGGTGCTCACCGATGAGGTGTTGGCTAAGGTTACAGAACAGTTGAAAAAAGTGGAGGTAGAAAATGCAGGACAAGAAGAGGCTATTGGAAAGGCAGGACAAGAAAAGGCTATTGGAAAGGCAGGACAAGAAAAGGCTATTGGAAAGCGATCTGAGGAAAGAAAGAGGCGGCGAGTTGTAGATGATAGCTTACAAGATATGCCGCAGAAAGGTAAGAAAGCGCGTGTATCAGTGTCGTTGAAGGAAGGAGGAGAATCAAAAAAACTTACGAATGAAGAGCCGGAAGATTCATCAAAGTTTAGAAAAGTAAAGCATGTCATTGGAGATGAAGAGGGTGTGTTATCGAAAGAAAAAACCATAACTAAGCCTGCAAAACCGGCCAGCAGTATCAAATCCAAAGAAATGGACAAGGTTGAACAGAAAAGTGAAGATAAGTCAGGGCGTAAAAAGGATAAAAAGCGAAGCAAGGAGAGCGATTCAAAATTGGAATATGCGACGATAGATCCTGAGGCCAAGGATTCTCGTAAAAAACGGGAAAGTGTTGCGAAAGGTGGTAGGAAGAAAACCACAACCGCAGATGTGAAGGGAACAGAAGCTGATTATGAAGACGTGGAAGAGAATAGAACTGAAAAAAGTGTGAAAAGCATGGGCAAAGACACAACGAGAAGGAAAAGTGAGAAAAACATGAGCGAGGACACACCGAGAAGGAAAAGTGAGAAAAAAATGAGCGAGGACACCCCGAGAAGGAAAAGTGAGAAAAACATGAGCGAGGACACCCCGAGAAGGAAAAGCAAGTTGGAATCTTCTTCAAAAAGCGGTGAAACCAAAAACAATTTAGCCACATCTAGCAGAAGGAAAAGTTTGAAAAAAGGAGACTCGGATGACATCGATAGCAGCTCTATTCCAACCAAGAAGACGAAGAGTTCAAAAACAGATAAGAATGAAAATGATGTGAGCGGAGTGAAAAGTTCCAGGTTATCTGTTTCTATGCCTGGAAAAGCGAAGGCTGCAGGAACAACGAAGATTAAAATTTCCAAAACGAAAAAAGACAATTGCGACGCACCTGTTGATGAAAAAAACGCAGCTACACCAGAAAAAACAGCACATAAGGATACCAAAGTAGAAAAGGAGAATGAAAAACGCGACAAAAGCACATCTTCAGAGCCTCGATCAAAAAGAAAAAAAAGAGTTACGGGCAATGAGTAAAGAGTAATAACAAAGGCTTATTCTTATCACGAATATAAAAAATAAAACTTATTTCACGGATGTTTTAGTCAGAATATTACCAAAGAGCGCAATCAGCCTGTCTCCGCAGCATACCAACGAATACCTCTAAATACGATAATTCGGTGCTGGAAAGCATGTTTTTAAACAGTAAACACTAATTTTCGCGGTAATTATACCCAATATCTACGTGCGGTTTTATCCCAGGATAATCCGTCTTGTCTCTCTGAGGACTATCATTTTATTCCCAAAGAGCCGGTATAAAACAAGAATGTCCACTGGACTCATTTGCAGTGACAATTCTTTATACATCATCGGTCTCTATGTTGTTAACCCGGCAAAAATTTACAAAGTGCACCTTTAAATCCTTCTCATCATTCATTTCAACGAAGTCCCTCATGAGATTTGCGCAGCTTGTCTTAATAGATGCTGGAAATGGACTTAGAAATTCGCAAACGAGATAAATTTTGCACACATCGTTGCCGTTGCTTGAAAAAAAAATCTTTTTGACAAATGAATCAATTTTCGCAGACAGCCCCAAGTCTCGCGCCATGGATACGCTCAACATACATCCATACAGCTTTGCATAGCTTATCGCTTTGTGTTTTTCATCTCTTTCCATGCATATTGAGATGCAGCTCTGCACCAAATCGATGTTAAATCCAAAGAAAATGAAAATCTTTGCTAATTTTATCGGGACAGGGAACGACCACAAGTCCAACAGATACGTAAACAAAAACAGTTTGTTGGTCTCAAATAGCACAGCAAGCTTGTCACTTATGTCAAATTCAAGCACAGGCTCACCGTCTTCTATGAGCTTACACTTGCCCACCAGAAACTCCATGAAATTGCGTACATCGCTGCTGTCCAGCTCATCACTTGTTTTGACAATTCTTTCCAAACAGTTTCTAATGGCTCGTCGTTCATTAACACCAACATCAGAGCTCCTAGTGTTCAAATACAGCAGGAGCTTTATTATATCCTCATTTCCACCACTTGAATATTCTCTGGCAAGCAGAAAGCGCCCAGCTCGCTCCAGGCAGTTGATAAGCATCTCGTATTTTTTCGTTTTCAGCAAAAAATGAAACATGGAAATCAATTTATCACGGTCAAAGCAATCAAACTTGAACAGCTCACACGCAAAATAAACCTTACGCTCCGATCTAACAGCCTGAATGACCAATTCAGAAAGCGTTTTCGTTGCAACATTTGAGTGGGAGTGTATCATGTCGATTATCTCAACATTATAGTCAAGGTTAAGAATCGCTGCTATCTTAGCAAGATATTTCAACTCGACGGACTCGTTGAGAAGAGACATAATAAACTCTTCCTTCCTTTGGTTCCGCGTCAAGTTGCTTACCACAAAATAGGGATTTCGTATATTTTGTACAATCTTATCCGTTGTCATTCGGCAAGACTTCTCGTTCGTGCTGTGGTTGGGCACTTTGTGATTCTTATAAAACTTTTTTTCCTTCTCCGTAAGCTCAATGATTTGTACAAAGTTATCCGATTGGATTTCTATTCCAAGCGCGTTGTTCAATAACTTGATATATTTCTGGTCCCCAGACGATTTGTCAAGCTTTATGTAAAGTTCCTTAAGAAATTCTAAATTGTCACGGTAGTATGTTGACAAGGCCTGGATAATGTTTCTGTGGTCGTTATGCATTTGCTCCAGCTCACAGATTTGTTCCATCAGGAATGCAATGATGCTGTGTAGCACGCCAAGCTTATGTTTATAAAAGTTTCCTTCCATTGTCTTTCGGAGAAAATTCCTGTACCTTTCCTGTTTTTCGATTCCGCAAGCACAAATTTCGGCGTAAATAATGGCATAAAAGTCAATGCACTCCGTTTTCAGATTCTGACGTAGTATTTCCTTGAAGCTATGCAGGAAAACATCATCAAAGTCATCATAGGTTCTGCTCAATTTGAAGACGATCCGCATCGTTGTATGGACATTTCTGCCATCGTGTTCTAAGAGCGAAGTAATGGCATCGTCCAAAAAATTGCTTAGATCGACACTCGACAGGTCTTCAAGAATTTTCAGAAGCGATGATTCGCGCACCTGCTTAATTTGGTTCAGCAGAGCAGTGATTTTTTTGAGAGTTCCCGTCTTTGGCTGCCCACCAAGATCTTCTCTGGCAATGTATGCAATTTTTTCTTCCTGGTAGCACATGGGCATGTGGTTAAAAAATAATTTTAAACATACGAAAAGAGATTAGGAATATGAAGGGTTGTTGGTAGCGTTGAATCAATACGATAAATACGACGTGTTGTTTGTTGATGTATGTACGCGGTTAACTCCATTTACTTGATACAAAGCAGCGAATGATTATCCTGGAGCTGTGTTCAAACCTGATCGAATGTTTACGTAACGTTGTTTAGGTCCGGATAAATGAGCACGGAAACTTCAGATGCCATTTTTTGCACTCATGTGGACTTATGGGAAGTTGGTGCGTTAAGCTTGAAGAATCGAATTTAATCCCCGTTCAAAATGGCTGATACCGCTGCAACTGTGTGCCGATCTTTCTAAGGTTGATAAAATTGCACATGGAACACGACAAACAGTGAACTAAGCAACACAAATCTGTAGTTCTGTTCGTCTCATGATTTTAAACTGTTACTGGTGCGTTTTTGTTAATGCAATGGATTAGAAAGTGCATTTACCGAGAACCTAACGCAAACATGATACCAGAATAGTGCACTCGTATACCTGATGGACGTAACAGAAGATCTTATGTACAATATAGGATCGGTGACATATTTTGTTCGTGTAACAAATATTTACAGCATATGTGAGTGCTACGATATTGTGATTGGGGTGCTTTGGTTGAACTTAGCCCGACCATTACTCATGAGGGTCTAGCTATTGCACAGAATTTCAATTGATAAATTGTGTTTTGCACATGTAAGCGTGATAGAATATGGAATAGCACTTAACAAGGAAAACAAATTGCATATTTACTAAAATACTTTTTGTATTCATAACTAGCTACGCTATTTCGGTTTATAAATCAGAATAAGGTTTGATTACACTTTAAATGATACTTCTTTCCCTTAATATATCATACTGTTGTTTTTTAATTTGTTTTATACCTTTTGGTAGGGGCCAATAATTAATTTCATTTGGTAATCATGCATTTTAATGTTGTTCATAAAAAATGAATGAACAAATATTGTGAAAACGAATCTGATAACAGCTTTTAACTATTTATTTTACGTAAAAATGAGAAAGAAAAATTTTGATTTTATATGAAAGGCCAAGTAATTTATTCTTCTCAAACGGTTCAATCAGCCTTCGAGTTGTCTTTTAATATATTTGATGGTTTAAGCATAGTACAGAGTTAATACCACAAGGAACAAACTATCGTTGCAAACCTATGTTGGTTATAAAAGTCTATTTATTATTAACGTTTCAACCACGTTCATTGCACCTGTATTTAGATCTGTACGCATTATTTTTTCTGTTTTCTCTGCAACCAGCGGTTCTCCCTACCACGGCTGTGGAAATCCTTAATAAAGTTGTATTTGATATATGTGGTGAATTTTGACTAAGACGCGTAAAATTTGGTCTAGAGTTATTCTATTGAGACTTTTTGCTGCATTATTTGCGCTTTAACACGGTTCAGCACGACAAGAGAAGGTGCTATTTAGAGAAAGATAGGACCACAAGATAGAACTGACTGAGATTGTATTGATAATACGCGCGCTGTGGATCGATTAAATGCGTAAGAATTTTTGTGTTGTACGTTGAAAAGGAATGGATAATAAGCGTTGTGATATATGTTGGAAGGGGATGATAAGTGGTTCATTGCACGTTGAAGCTCGTGGCAGTTCAATCTCTAAAAACACACAGTCCAAATCACATTCAAAATTATTTACTATGCAATTGTTTCCCAGGACAGAAATTGCAATAGAAGAATGAGTACTAATGGTTCTGGTAGGAACCGCTACACGACTTGGTTCAAATTTTCGTCAAAAACAGGATTGATCGACTTTTATTGCACAACGGGGACCTGAATCCATATGGCACTCCATGAATGAAGCTGTAGATAGTGGAACAAATATGCACAATCACACCTAAAATGGGAATACAGAGCATACTTCGATTCGTTGGCTACATTTAGCTACTAGGGAAGAGACAAACAACCGTACTTCAGTAAAAAACACTCTTCATAGATGGAATCAAGTGCTTATCTCCAAATCAAAATAGATAGAAACGAGCTGATGAGGCTGTGTAAAGTGTTTACCGGTAATGTACGTAACACTCATCCATATAATTGCTATCCTGTTGGATGGTTCAGTGAGCGCTTTGTTTACTCAATTTCGCACGGACTTCGTCGAGCTCTGCAGATAATTTTTTGATCGCCTCCTCAAACCTTCGTTGGACTATGATATTTGTTGCTGACTTTAAAAACTCTTTCTTCTCTCTTATCTTTTTTTGTATCTCTTCGATTTGGCCTTTGAGCTCCATCACCACTTCGCTTTCCAATGTTGTTTCCTCGAATCGCTTCTGATCAACCAGATATTCATCGATTAGATTATGTTCCAACTCAGCGGCCAAAGATGACACATCTTCCTCCTCGTTATCCGTATTAACTGTCTGTATTCTGATACTGGTCGCCAACCTGTCTCTTTCCAGCAACTCCTTCACCTTCTTTTCTATTTCTTCCACTGCGCTCAGGCTTTGTGCTCGCTCTCTCCAGCGTCTATGCTTCACAAATTTTAGGGGAGGCGTAATTCCGCTGGCAGCGTAGATCTTGGTGTAGTGATTTATCTCCACCTCTGTGTAACTTTTCGGCCATACAACGAGCATGTTGGCAACGTCGTTAATTTTGTAGAACTGATTGCCATCAAACGATTTTTGTGCTTCAAGGATACACGGCAGGGGAATTGCAGACACCCTGTATCTTGTCCCCTTATATCGAAAAGTAATGTTTTTAAGGTCGTTAAAATCGAATTCGCAATCGGGATACCCTTTCTCCTCTATTTCTCTGTCAAATTGCTCGCGTAACGCATCCGGTATCCTCAAAATTACATGTTCTTCTGTCATCGAAGGGTAAAAAGGTAACCATGAATATTTTGCTCAACGAGAATGGGGCGAATAGCGTACCACAAGCGGTTGTTGAGAGTATGTAAACTGTTTTGCGTGACACCTATTGCGATGGCAATTTCTTCGTGCTATTTAGGTTGAACATGCGGTATTTAGTAAATTGAATTTAGACATAAATTAGGCACAGACAAAATGGCCACTGAGAAACCAATAGGCACAAAAATGCCCGTTCTGCATGCTGATATTAAATAGGAAACATGTTTACTTATGAATTGTTGATGGGAGTTTGCGAAACTATGTGAGGAATGACTGGAGAGGTGAACATAGCAATTATAACAGATTGAAGTAAACTGCGAGTTGTTGCTGACGTGATTAATAGTCGCTCGTAACACATGATCCTTATAAAAAATATACGTTATCAATGTATAAATAGTTCTCTGAAGCAAGTCGCTCGCTCACATCTGTTCACACATTGGCTGCAAACACACTTGGATATATAGAATAAATTACATTCTTTTCTTTCTTTTTAAATTACAAAAACGGCTTCTGATCGGTTTAGCATCTAATTTTTACGCATTGGTACTTCTTCTCGCCGAATTAGAAACGAGTTTTATAGAAAGTGAGCAATACCGTGGTATGAACAAATCGAGTTATTCAAATTCAATCATTTTTATCGGCTAAATTGTGTTTTACATGCTTTTAATGAAGAATCTTTTACTAACATGTGATATTTTCGTTCCGTTCATAGTCAAAATGTCACGTTTACCCATCAATACGTCAGTAGACGAACACTGTTTCACAGCAAGACTCTAATATGGTGAGTCAAAGCAGAAACCTCGAGAAATTGGTAACTTTTAGGATACAACATATAGAATCAGGTTGCTTAAATTACACTATATGTCTTTTATATCCATTTTTCTTTCTAATGGCTTTATGCATAATGTTAATCAAACTTTTTCTGTGCCAGAATTCATCTCCTAGTATCGATTTGCCTCGGATAAGCATGTATTTGCATCATGTTAATTGACGTCGTTTAAGCAAAATTCTTTATTTGACGCTGACGCAAGGAGATGGAAATTGTAATGCCTATTGTTCGTAAAAACATTGTTTTTGCTGTAGATATGGCGGGATCGCTTGATGTAGTAAGATGCTTAATATGCTGGAATATAGTTTGATAATTGTTCTGAAGCGAATACAGGAACACAGTGGACATGATGTTGAACGATGTAATAAGATTGATTGAGCAAAATATTTGTTAAAGGAGTCTCTAGCTCGAGATAAGGAATGAAGGTAATTAGATGCAAATGAAAACCGAGAGACATGTGCTTCGGCGTTATGATGTATCAATCAATGTCTATGTATCAGCTCTGATTCCTCCGCTACTCATAGAAAGTCTCTCCTGTACCGGGTACTGTTGTCCTGCACAGTTTCTTTTACAAATGAAATGTTTATCTTGGGATTGCAGGACTGACACGAGTATTTGATACACTTACCTCCTCATTAACCAATAGAAAATAGAGTGTTCTACTTTTACTTCTATAGCAGGTATAAAGTTGATCCAAGCTTTCATATTCCACGAACGAGAAATAATGAATCCACAGTTAGATCAAAACAGGCCGACAGTATCCAAATATCTGGTAGAAAACAATACTGACCGATACTTTGCAGCAGCAATAAAAGTCACTGCCTTCACGATAGGTTGTAGCGATCCGAAAGCGTTGATGTGTTAATCAGATATAATGCAGCGTAACTAAAAAACTAAATAGGTGTCTTTGTCTAAATATTTGTGTTATACAAGAGTCCGTCGGGAGTTACAAAGGTCTAAGAAGACTCGGTGCTAAATAAAAGCAGACAAGAGAATCAGAAAACAAGCATCAGAGCACCAAAAAATGTTGAACGCAACCGTATTAAAATGTGCTAAATTGATTTATTCGGTTGATAGTGAGTGAGCAAACTTGTGGAAAAAAGTGTTATTCATATGTTTCAGTACACATATCTAATACAAATGCTCGCAAAAAAATAACATAAAAGAACGAATGGGCGGCAGAAAACTGACTGTTGGTAGAATGTAGAATTATTGGCCAAAAATGAAAAAGAGGATAAACGGTTTACACACATATTATCATGCTTAGATTATTATATCACATTTCTGTGAACTAAAAGCCGTTTATTACTTTTACAAGATCACAGTATCCAAGCAAACATACTTTTCTGGTCTGCTAGGACCGACTGTGATTACCGACCTGTGGCTCATAACTTGTTGTATAGAAAGTACATTTAACATCTTCTGAAATATGTTATATTGAATCAAATACCAATCCATATTTAGAAACACGCTAATTATTGCTTATTACGAATGTACCCATTGCAACATAAAAGTGTATTTACTAATTGTTCCATTGATAATATTACTATAAACAGTATCAGTTAGATAAATGCCGTGTACGAAATGATAAAGATCCAATCTGGCCATGATAAATACACACAAAAGCAACCGGAAACTATTGTTTGTTAAATCACAGTCAATCTATAAAACGTATAAGGCAAATTATAGCTGCGATATGCAAAATTTTTATTCGGCTCTGCCAACCAAAAAATGGCTGTAGTTAAATGTTCTGCCATAGTGTTAAACCAAATAAATTTCCTGGCCATATGATTGGGTGATATATGGTTTTAGTTTTTCCGTAGAACATATTTTTGCCGGCAAACTGATCAATTTTTCGGGACGTAGATAATTATGGCAAAAGATTACAAACATATGGGTAAATAGCAGACAGTGAATCTACATCAACAACTTTCAACCCATTTTATTCATGTAAACCGATCATACACTTCGGTTAAATTGGTCTTACGTTCAAACTTTTATGGAATTTTCTAAAAGAATCACGAGGCAGCATTTTCAAATTTGTTTTGGAGCGTAATATCGCATCAAATTCTTACACATGCTTCAAGCAGCAAAAAATCTGTCAACTTTTACGAAGGCCAGATAAGATAGAATAACATTTATTAAAGGAGGTCATGCCATCTTTAACGAGATATTTGAATACGAACGAATCACAGTGCGCGAAAAATCCGATATGATCTAAAAAGGTAAATTGTGGAAAATAAAAGAAAAGAGAATAGAGAAAGAATGAAACTCGAATGGAAAAATATTGATATTGAGGTTATGAATCACAATAGAAGATATAGGCAGAAAAGAATAAAACTAGTGTCGAATGCTTGTGGACACGCTAAAGAGGGATTGTTAGCAATCATGGGACCGAGCGGAAGCGGAAAGACAACGCTGATAAAAGCATTGGCCGGGAGATTACCAAGTGATTCATCGTCTACCGGTATAGTAACGCTAAATGGAGTTGAAAGGGATGTTGAGACATGGGTAGATATTGTTGGATACGTTGACCAAGATGATGCGATATATAACACGTTAACTGCGCGCGAAACTGTCACGTACGCCGCTAAGTTTAGATTAAAAAATAGGAGCATAAATATCACTGAAAAAGTGGAGGGCCTATTCAAGAAACTTGCCATTACACATGTTTTGGATTGTCAAATGTCCAATCTGTCGGGTGGTGAGCGAAAAAGGGTGATGATCGCCGTCGAACTAATAACAGACCCGAAGATAATTTTTCTGGACGAGCCAACCAGTGGATTAGATAACAATACAACGGTTAAAATAATCAAATTACTTAAGGAACTGTCCAAAGAAGGAAGAACAATTCTGTTCACCATACATCAGCCAGATGACATAACGGTCGATGAATTTGATGAAATTTTGTTGTTGTCACAGGGTAGGTCGGTGTATATGGGTAGTATGAAGAATTGTGAGCAACATTTAATATCAAATGGATTTGTAAAAGAAGACCGAGAGACGTTCTCCAATTTTGCAATGAAAGTGTTAAATGTTGAACCAGGGATCTACCACGAGACTGATGAATCTGGGCGAATGGACTCTTTGGTAAACGAGGTTAAAGAGCGGTATAATTTCAATGCGAGTGAAAAGTTTAACAAAACAGGCAATGATTATTATGTTGAACTCGCTCCGAATTGTTACCATATTATGCTGCTGCTCAAGAGACGATGCAAATTGGAACTTTTTTCCAAAAAGAACATAGTGACCGTGCTAATTGGTGTTATTTCAATTTGTTTGATTCTCTATCTGGTAAGGGTCGTTAACAACATGCAATCAGAAGTTGCTAAAGAAATAGAAACCGGATTCCGAGATGGCACAAGAAAATTACCCAAAGACCTACGCGGAAAATCAATCAAATGTATCCAAGATGGCATGAAAACTTTTGCTGTGATGATCCTCAGTATATTTGTTGGGTTTCAAGTGGCAATAATACCGTTGCTGACTGGTATGGCATTCAACGGTGAGCACGACAAGATTAAGAGAGAAGTTTCTGTCCATACCTATTCGGTTTCATCCTATTATTTTGCGGTTTTTATTTTCGAATTTCTTAGGCACTTGGTACTTTTCATCTTCTTCGCGGTAGGTATCAGAATTATAACCGGTGATATTTTTGATTTTATGGCTATTTTAACTTCCTTTATGATGTTTCTTGCGACTATAACAGCATATCTTTTCTGCGGTTCCATATTGCGAGGCATGAAAAAAATAATTCTTGTGTTTGGATCGTTCTTAATTATTAACGCTCTCCCGTTTGCTTTTATAGTGGTCATGGCCAAAATGAGCAAAAAAATTACCAAAAAATTCTTATTGGCATATCTCTTGGACTTAACACCGAATTACGTACTGGGAGCGTGTTCATTCATTGCAAGACTAGAGAAACTGCTAAAAGACTATCCAGAGTTGGAATTACTTGAAGATATGATCGCGGATGATCAAGAAAGCTTTACGGTATCGTCTCTAAAAGAATACAAAAGTCTTCTTATGGGAATTGAACTGCCTGTTGCGTGCAACTATCTGTTTGGTGGTGGGATGATAGTTTTATATGCTGTATTATGCATCATGATGCTATCAATTCATCTTAAGCCAGATTTTCGAATGCGGCTTAACAAAAAATAAAATCATTTTGCTCCATTAATCGGTCTGCTTAACCGGTAGTACTATTGTTTTTTGTGAGTCGATAACAATATTTTTACTTAAGCTTTGAGAGATAAATCCTATAGGGCGTAACAATGCTTAAATATTTAGATATTTGGATAAAGTGGTGGCGGTTGCTGAAAACCTAACGTTTAAAATTAGATTTTATTTTATTGTGTGTATTTTAATGGAACATATTCGGGCTTACATTTATCTCTGAGTAAAAATTACATCCAATAGTCTTACTAAGTGGTCCTTGGTTCTGCATGAGATTACAATCTCTTCTGATACAACGCGGCCGCGGATATTTACCAGGTTTTGAATATAAAGAAAACGTTTGTGGCCATCATTAGTATTTAGAGATGAGGCATCAAACATCACGCACCATGGAATAATATGGAGTAAAAAAGATGGTACATAAGGTAACCAACGACTGTATATATAAATGTGCTCAGCATAAATTGGTAATAGTTCTAAAAAATAATATTTGATGAATTGTGTAAAGCAAAACATAACTAATTACAGCATTAGCATGTTTCAGGATTAAATTTCCAGGTAACATTAAATATTATCGGATTTAATGTCGATAATTTCTTTGTGTTCGCCATACCTAATTTTTGATTCCCTTTTTTTCTCGCTATCTAGTTCTCGCAACATTAGGATTCTATTTCCAATTTGTGTTTAGATTACCAACTAAAGGACAGAGAGTTGAATATGTGATATCTAAACAGAAATTTAATGTCATTATCACTTAGCAGCGGTTTACGTGTTGTAAGAGCTACAAATGTACTGATAGTA